TTTTATTACTGGTGAGCGATGAGGAGACCATTACCGCAGCGAGTCCGAATACCGATAATAATACGGCTACCGTATGCCAAACTAATATTTTGAAACTTTATTAAATAATAACCAAACGTCCTACAGCTACAAACACTACGTCCCTGTAAAGGGTAGGTAGTCTGCTATCCTGTGAATAAGTTTTTAGGGATAACATTTGAACTGGTGAGCGATGAGGAGACCATTACCGCAGAAAGTCCGAATACCGATAATAACACGGCTACCGTATGCCAAACTAATATTTTGAAACTTTATTAAATAATAACCAAACGTCCTACAGCTACAAACACTACGTCCCTGTAAAGGGTAGGTAGTCTGCTATCCTGTGAATAAGTTTTTAGGGATAACATTTGAACTGGTGAGCGATGAGGAGACCATTACCGCAGAAAGTCCGAATACCGATAATAACACGGCTACCGTTTGCCAAACTAATATTTTGAAACTTTATTAAATAATAACCAAACGTCCTACAGCTACAAACACTACGTCCCTGTAAAGGGTAGGTAGTCTGCTATCCTGTGAATAAGTTTTTAGGGATAACATTTGAACTGGTGAGCGATGAGGAGACCATTACCGCAGCGAGTCCGAATACCGATAATAATACGGCTACCGTATGCCAAACTAATATTTTGAAACTTTATTAAATAATAACCAAACGTCCTACAGCTACAAACACTACGTCCCTGTAAAGGGTAGGTAGTCTGCTATCCTGTGAATAAGTTTTTAGGGATAACATTTGAACTGGTGAGCGATGAGGAGACCATTACCGCAGAAAGTCCGAATACCGATAATAATAAGGCTACCGTATGCCAAACTAATATTTTGAAACTTTATTAAATAATAACCAAACGTCCTACAGCTACAAACACTACGTCCCTGTAAAGGGTAGGTAGTCTGCTATCCTGTGAATAAGTTTTTAGGGATGACATTTGAACTGGTGAGCGATGAGGAGACCATTACCGCAGAAAGTAAGAATAACGATAATAACACGGCTACCGTATGCCAAACTAATATTTTGAAACTTTATTAAATAATAACCAAACGTCCTACAGCTACAAACACTACGTCCCTGTAAAGGGTAGGTAGTCTGCTATCCTGTGAATAAGTTTTTAGGGATAACATTTGAACTACATAGGCCAGGTGAGTATTTGTACCGAGTGAGTCTATGCGTAAATTTCGAATCTTGGGGATGATCTTTAGGGTGATCTTTGAATATTGACCGGTTTCACCTACCGACTTGAAACCTCCACAGCTCGTTACTAGTGCCCTTAGCTGCCATCCCTGCGAGTTTGGTAAGCATCGTCATAATTCCATAAAAAAAGCAATTCTCTATCTACTAGTGGGTGGCGTGGACAAAACATTACCTGGTAGCGGACAGTACCTGCGTGGATATATAAATATTTTATTACTGGTGAGCGATGAGGAGACCATTACCGCAGCGAGTCCGAATACCGATAATAATACGGCTACCGTATGCCAAACTAATATTTTGAAACTTTATTAAATAATAACCAAACGTCCTACAGCTACAAACACTACGTCCCTGTAAAGGGTAGGTAGTCTGCTATCCTGTGAATAAGTTTTTAGGGATAACATTTGAACTGGTGAGCGATGAGGAGACCATTACCGCAGCGAGTCCGAATACCGATAATAACACGGCTACCGTATGCCAAACTAATATTTTGAAACTTTATTAAATAATAACCAAACGTCCTACAGCTACAAACACTACGTCCCTGTAAAGGGTAGGTAGTCTGCTATCCTGTGAATAAGTTTTTAGGGATAACATTTGAACTGGTGAGCGATGAGGAGACCATTACCGCAGAAAGTCCGAATACCGATAATAACACGGCTACCGTATGCCAAACTAATATTTTGAAACTTTATTAAATAATAACCAAACGTCCTACAGCTACAAACACTACGTCCCTGTAAAGGGTAGGTAGTCTGCTATCCTGTGAATAAGTTTTTAGGGATAACATTTGAACTGGTGAGCGATGAGGAGACCATTACCGCAGAAAGTCCGAATACCGATAATAATACGGCTACCGTATGCCAAACGAATATTTTGAAACTTTATTAAATAATAACCAAACGTCCTACAGCTACAAACACTACGTCCCTGTAAAGGGTAGGTAGTCTGCTATCCTGTGAATAAGTTTTTAGGGATAACATTTGAACTGGTGAGCGATGAGGAGACCATTACCGCAGCGAGTCCGAATACCGATAATAATACGGCTACCGTATGCCAAACTAATATTTTGAAACTTTATTAAATAATAACCAAACGTCCTACAGCTACAAACACTACGTCCCTGTAAAGGGTAGGTAGTCTGCTATCCTGTGAATAAGTTTTTAGGGATAACATTTGAACTGGTGAGCGATGAGGAGACCATTACCGCAGAAAGTCCGAATACCGATAATAATAAGGCTACCGTATGCCAAACTAATATTTTGAAACTTTATTAAATAATAACCAAACGTCCTACAGCTACAAACACTACGTCCCTGTAAAGGGTAGGTAGTCTGCTATCCTGTGAATAAGTTTTTAGGGATGACATTTGAACTGGTGAGCGATGAGGAGACCATTACCGCAGAAAGTAAGAATAACGATAATAACACGGCTACCGTATGCCAAACTAATATTTTGAAACTTTATTAAATAATAACCAAACGTCCTACAGCTACAAACACTACGTCCCTGTAAAGGGTAGGTAGTCTGCTATCCTGTGAATAAGTTTTTAGGGATAACATTTGAACTACATAGGCCAGGTGAGTATTTGTACCGAGTGAGTCTATGCGTAAATTTCGAATCTTGGGGATGATCTTTAGGGTGATCTTTGAATATTGACCGGTTTCACCTACCGACTTGAAACCTCCACAGCTCGTTACTAGTGCCCTTAGCTGCCATCCCTGCGAGTTTGGTAAGCATCGTCATAATTCCATAAAAAAAGCAATTCTCTATCTACTAGTGGGTGGCGTGGACAAAACATTACCTGGTAGCGGACAGTACCTGCGTGGATATATAAATATTTTATTACTGGTGAGCGATGAGGAGACCATTACCGCAGCGAGTCCGAATACCGATAATAATACGGCTACCGTATGCCAAACTAATATTTTGAAACTTTATTAAATAATAACCAAACGTCCTACAGCTACAAACACTACGTCCCTGTAAAGGGTAGGTAGTCTGCTATCCTGTGAATAAGTTTTTAGGGATAACATTTGAACTGGTGAGCGATGAGGAGACCATTACCGCAGCGAGTCCGAATACCGATAATAACACGGCTACCGTATGCCAAACTAATATTTTGAAACTTTATTAAATAATAACCAAACGTCCTACAGCTACAAACACTACGTCCCTGTAAAGGGTAGGTAGTCTGCTATCCTGTGAATAAGTTTTTAGGGATAACATTTGAACTGGTGAGCGATGAGGAGACCATTACCGCAGAAAGTCCGAATACCGATAATAACACGGCTACCGTATGCCAAACTAATATTTTGAAACTTTATTAAATAATAACCAAACGTCCTACAGCTACAAACACTACGTCCCTGTAAAGGGTAGGTAGTCTGCTATCCTGTGAATAAGTTTTTAGGGATAACATTTGAACTGGTGAGCGATGAGGAGACCATTACCGCAGAAAGTCCGAATACCGATAATAACACGGCTACCGTATGCCAAACTAATATTTTGAAACTTTATTAAATAATAACCAAACGTCCTACAGCTACAAACACTACGTCCCTGTAAAGGGTAGGTAGTCTGCTATCCTGTGAATAAGTTTTTAGGGATAACATTTGAACTGGTGAGCGATGAGGAGACCATTACCGCAGCGAGTCCGAATACCGATAATAATACGGCTACCGTATGCCAAACTAATATTTTGAAACTTTATTAAATAATAACCAAACGTCCTACAGCTACAAACACTACGTCCCTGTAAAGGGTAGGTAGTCTGCTATCCTGTGAATAAGTTATGCCCCCAAATAGTTTTAAGTCCCCGGTAAGCGTATTAGACTTGCAGTGGTGGCAAAACCTGTATTTTACCCATGTAATCCTGTACCAATATACCGTTTTCTGGACAACTCGACCTCACAACCACTTTATGCAAATTGTAAGTATCCAAAATGCATTTCCCGAAAAGGGGACATCCTGACGAATCCAGGGATGTGCCTGGCTAAGTCGTAGTACAATATTTCTATTCTTTATGACTTATAAACCGATTTTACCTATGTAATCCTGTACCAATATACCGTTTTCTGGACAACTCGACCTAACAACCACTTTATGCAAATTGTTAGTATCAAAAATGCATTTCCCAAAAAGGGGACATCCTGACGAATCCAGGGATGTGCTTGGCGAAGTCGTAGTACAAAATTTCGATTTTTAGTTTGTTATTCAAATATTCGTGTCTACCGCGGTAGCGCATATTATGAGTATCCGGGACTTTTTTGTATGAAAAACAATTGTTACAAATCCAAATTTGGTAGTACTGTTTTGAAAACGATATCCCTCTACTATAAATGACTTACTCTGCACCCCTAAATAGTTTTAAGTCCCCAGGTAAACGAATATGACTTGTGGTGGTGACTTAACGAGCGTTTAAGCCCTGTAATCCTGTACCAATATACCGTTTTCTGGACAACTCGACCTCACAACCACTTTATGCAAATTGTAAGTATCCAAAATGCATTTCCCGAAAAGGGGACATCCTGACGAATCCAGGGATGTGCTTGGCGAAGTCGTAGTACAAAATTTCTATATGTAAAGACTTACAAACCGATTCGTTTCTACCGGAGTAGTGCAAATTACGTTTTTTTCCACTTTCAATTAATTAAAAATCATCACATAAAATACTACTTTTTTTATTTACCTATCTGTTAGCATATATTTTCCAAAATGGCAGCGAGAGGAGCAATTCACGAGAGGTACCCCCCGTTGAGAACTTGTTTCATTTGCCGGATGAATCCCACGATAGACCAACAATGCACAATGAGATCACCGTCTCCGTGATATTTGTACCAGACTCACCAAACTCGGAGGGACGGTTGCCCAGGGTACTTGCTACGATCTGCGAAAGTTTCAGGTCGATCGGTCCAAGGGTTGATCTTACAGAATTTTTGGAATTCATTAAAACACGATTATATGTAATATTCTCATTGTGCATTGTTGCCGTGTGAGTCTATATAATATGCCGAGTGAGTCTATATAATGTGACGAGTGAGTCTATATAGTATAAGTTGTACAAAATCCTCAGTCTGTTGTTTCCACAATGTTCACTTGAACAAATATTATTATATTATTTTTTTTTTGAAATTATTACATCGTGTAGCCGACGTGTATGTGAATCTACTAAAATACAAGACGGTCAGGCATAATTGAAGCATAATTCACAACTTATAATAATATAAGTGAATACATTTTTTCTTTTCTTTGTTTATATAATATAATATTATAATGTAGTACTATGTAAAAATTTGTGTACTTATATAATACAATATAAAACTAAGAAAATAAATTAAATAATTATTTATGCCAATAAACATTAAGATCACAACTTTCAAGTGTAAAACCAATTGTAAAGTATATTTTTATAAGTATATAATTATATTTTAATATAATATATTTTAGATATACACACAGCTTTTAGATTTTTAACAGCTTCTTCAGCAAACCGTAATCGGGTTTTCCAGCAGGTTCCAGATTATAAATTATAATCATAGTTTCAAAATAACCTGTAAATAATTTACACAAATTTAAAATATCAAAAGAGCGGTTTATTCTATCACCGTTGTTGGCTGTGTCACTATTACTTTCTGTGTGTTTTTAACGGGAATCAGTGGATCCATTTTTACTGTTGTAATAAAAAAAAAAAAATCAGTCTACTATATGAGCACTGACTGATGAGACAAAAATTGCTATAAATTTTATAATACCCACCCGATATATGAGACCCACCAGGTCCACATATGAGACTCAACCGGCTCACCATAAAGGCGCATCCGGCTAAGTATATTGACTAACCCGGTACAGTAATAGACTCACTCGGTATACTTAATATTATTCCATATTTTTATACTTATATTCTTATTATTCTTATATGTTAAATCAATCAAAACCAGTGCCTAATTAATCCAAGGTTTATCAAGGTTTTATGCTAAATTACTATCATAACTTTCAAGTTTCTAGATAAAAAAATATAACACTTTTACAACATGATGCAATAAATGTATTGTAGATTATTTCACTTATTACACTTATTTACATTTAAATAGAATTTTATAAGATTACAGTTTTAGATATATTAAGTCATATTTTACATTTTCAGTCAATTATTAACAAATTATAAGTATATGATACAATAAGTTTTAAAATCTCTCTGATAGTGTGTTGAAGACAATGAAGCCCAATGAAGAAATGTTGTTGAGCGTCTTGCCATTCACAATTTATCTATTTTGTGATCCTGAAAAAAAATGTAAATTAATTTATATATTCATAATTTTTTAATGAAGTTTCAATATATTACCATTTTCACTCGGTGAGCCGCAAGCAGGCATGGTACTGGAAATGCCGCTTCGCATTTGTCGCACTTATATGGATTTTTGAGTGAATGCATTCTGTTGTCATGGTATCGTAGTTGTCTTTAGCCGGCATAATTTTTTCCACATTTGGGGCATTGTATGAGCGATTCTTCATGTATTAATTTTACATGCATATTCAAGTTCCTCTTGTCACTAAACTCTTTAGCACATTCCTCGCACTTATGTTTTGCAACACCTATATGTAGGTACTGGTGCTCTCGCATGGTGTCTCTCCTTCTGAACAATTTAGGACAATATTGGCAGGCAAATGTACCAGGATTGTGGGATGCCATATGCCTCTTAAACCAGCAGTTATATTTAAAAGGCAAATCGCATTTGGCACAGTGATATTTATAAGGAGAGTCAACACTACCATCTGTGGATAGTATAGATCCTTCATCACCAGATATGTTTTCTGCCTCATCAGAGGAAGAAGTTTCTGTGTCCGAACAACTAGACTCTTCTGTAATATAAGTAAAAACTATTGTCATAATGTATTTTAAAAAAAAAAGCTTATAATTAAATCATTGAAATTTTTATGTGGTTTGTACAATTGGAGATTGTGTGAGCAACATAGGAATATAAGAATATAGTTGACGATAGGGCAGAAATTCACAAGATATAAGTAAAATGTATAAAAAAAAACAGCAGTATTACCTGCTTCAGTTTGATGAGATGCAGGAACGTTGTTGACGGTTGTCCCTGGCGGGTCGTCCACTGTTGACTGAGGCGGGTGGTCGCCAACTGACATAGTCTCTACTGTAATATAAGTAAAAACTATTGTCATAATGTATTTTAAAAAAAAAAGCTTATAATTAAATCATTGAAATTTTTATGTGGTTTGTACAATTGGAGATTGTGTGAGCAACATAGGAATATAAGAATATAGTTGACGATAGGGCAGAAATTCACAAGATATAAGTAAAATGTATAAAAAAAAACAGCAGTATTACCTGCTTCAGTTGGAGGAGATGCAGGAACGTTGTTGACGGTTGTCCCTGGCGGGTCGTCCACTGTTGACTGAGGCGGGTGGTCGCCAACTGACATAGTCTCTACTGTAATATAAGTAAAAACTATTGTCATAATGTATTTTAAAAAAAAATGCTTATAGTTAAATTATTAAAATTTTGAATTCTATGGTATGTACCAAGGTGTAACATTAAATAAGCTCGGCTCTTGAAATTGAGCCTGCATAAATTGCACATACTATTAGAAGGCATGTTTTAATACAAAAAAAATATATAATAACTGTATGCAATAATGAATAGTGGTTATATGATTTGTTCTTACAAATATGCAATATTTAATGTAAAAAGGGCCCAGCCCATATAATTAATTGAAATAAAATAAAATATAGTAATATTGATAGCAAAGACTCAATGACAACAACTGATTTTTTTAGGCTATAGGGCAGTTATGATCATGATAAAAAGTAAATTGTATAAAAAAAAACAGTGTTACCTGAATTGAAGTCAGGTTTTACCAGTTTTTTTTTTTTTTTATTAGTGGCTGTGTAATATGTTATAAGACAGTTAAAATGTAAATTAATAATAATGACATTAGATTGAAACAAAAAATAAAAAAAAAATGTGTAATAATACCTTTGCTACGGAAAATGCCTCTTGCTTTGTTTTCACATGTTAGACACGCACATTTTTCATTGGACTGACCAAAATAATCATGTCCATAAAACACAGTTACCTCCTCTCCAGGCAATATCAACTTTAATGATTTAATTTCAATATAAGACGGTTCGCCAATGGGTGAAAAAACAGCATTAGATTCACAATCGTGATTAGCGTACGCCGCCGGGCCAAGATAAACGTGTTGATTCTGAGATCGGCTCCTGGTAAACAACGAAAAATCATTCACACCAACTTTAATATCCTTTTCGAATATAAAAAAGGATTGCCCTCCTAATCCGGTTATTGTTTTATTTTTTTTTATAAGGACGTTTGCCACAATTTTTACGCCAAACCCTTTCTCATTTTGAAAACGGTTACATGGTTCATACCTGAAATTCAATATACTAACATAAACACATATCGCTCAAATAAAAAAATAACAAAAAATAACATACCTAAACCAAGAGTTTTCGCTAACAGATCTGGCATACAAATCTTCTTGGAATTTTATGATTCTTTGTTCAATACGCGAAAACTGCAACTTGTTTGATGTTGTCTGAGTTTTGTGGGATCGAAATCCTAATTGTTTGTCGACAAATTGTTCAGTGTACTTATCGTCGGCAATACATAAGATAATCGCAAGCCGACTTTTAGGATGAAAATACATTCCTTCATTCTAGGTGTGATATACAAATGTAAATATTATTCTCAGTATAAAGGCTTATAAAGGTTATAAAATATATTAAATTCAAGGTGTATCGATAAGGCGTTATCACTCTGAACCTCTATGCATACAAAATACAAATTCTTGATTGAAATTATTACCACGGTTCTATAGACACCAGAGCGCGCTCCTGTTTATTATATTTGACTGTAGTTAATAATAACTGCTGATACGGTTATAAAATCCCCGTCATGGAAATCACGGAACGGACAAAAATAACTGACTGATATTGAAATTAAATGCTGCAGCTGCGTTCATGAGGATATCACGCCATCTAAGGCCGGGGCTATACACGGCGTATTCCGCGGCGTTTTCCGTCAAATTAAAAACGCATTGGTTTAAATCAGAGCAGCTATACACGACGGGCGTAATATGCCGCGTTTTCCACGGCGGCAAAAAACGCCGGTCGGCTTGCGTTTTCCGCCGCGGTGGGAAACGCGGCGTATTACGCCCGACGTGTATAGCTGCTCCGATTTAAAACAATGCGTTTTTAATTTGACGGAAAACGCTGCGGAATACACGGCGTTTGAAACGCGGCGAATATCGCCGTGTATAGCCCCAGCCTAAAAGGACGTAGGGCTTTGACGCGCGTGAAGAACGCGACATTGTAACAAATTAATTATATTAATAAAAAAAATACTCACAACAGAAGCCATGGCAAAAGAGACTCTTCTTACTCGTACTGTGTAGTGTGTAGCTGTGAGCGTTTCAGCGTTGCATGAGGACCCACTCGCCACGGGTCACACATCGAGACAACTCACACGGCCAGTGTTACCAATTACAGATTTTTAATTTACTTTATAACTCTTAAAATAATTTAAAATTGAAAGTCTATTGTTTATTTGTAGGTTAGGTTAAATGTAGGTATAAAAATATATAATAACATAATGATTAATGAAGTGTATATAAAATATGCAATATAATAAATAAAAAAATATGTATAGAAATATATATGTAGCTAGGTATACAAATAACTTAATATTCGCATGTAATGTGATAAGCATCTGATTGTTTAACCTTTGATAATGAGCGCGGGGTAAATAATGACCCCATACAAGTTTACTATCGCAATACCAACGTTATCGTAAAAGATATCACTTAATGACTTCATATACCTTCCTAAATTTAGTTTGTCAATAGTTACCAAATAATTCCACCATTATTTGGTCATTAGTGTCGCCGCTACGGTCAGCCGTTACAGGTGAAACCCGAATCCGGCAATTATTTACCCCACGTGCGTAGTTGTGTTATGATTTTTGTATTAGTTCGTAGTTCGTATTAGTAGTATTACAGTTTAGTTTTACAATACGCACGTGTTGTGCGTTATTGCATTAGACATGGATAATTTTGAAAAAAGACGTATTGAGTCCTATTTAGAAGAAACTGACCAAATTATTGAAGTTTGGGGAGGTGAATCTAGTGGTGACGAAAATGTCGTTGAAAATGATAATCGGTCTGACCATGATACCGACTCGGAACAATCTGTCTATGATTTAGAATACGATCATGAACGTGATGAAATAATGGTAAACGAGAAGGACTTCGACAACAGTTATAATGAATCAGATGATGATGTCCCTTTGAGTATGAGAGTTCAATATTTCGTTGGTAAAGATGGTACCAAATGGTTTCGTAAGAAACCTACTCAAAATATTCGCACTATTCAACAAAATTTAGTAACTGAAAAATCCGGCGTAAAAGGTGTGGCCAAAAATGCGAAATCAGAAATAGAATCTTGGGAAATATTTTTTTCCAATCCAATAATTGAAACAATTGTAAAATGTACAAATATATATATCGCTAAAGTCCGTTCTAACTTTGCTCGAGATCGCGATGCCTTGGATACCAACAATCGTGAAATAAAAGCACTAATCGGTTGCTTGTACATTATAGGTAATTATAACATATTTATCCTAACATTATAATTATTAATATTAATACTATTTGTGATTATTCGTATTTTCCTGGGACAAAAGTTTTACTGGTAATAATTTGTGTTTATGAGCTATCAAAGGTGGACATCGAAGTACATTAGATTTGTGGAAAACTGACGGACTCGGAGCTGAATTGTTACCATGTGTGATGTCCGAAAAGCGTTTTCAATTTTTACTAAGATGTATTCGTTTTGATGATATTCGTGGTAGAGATGAAAGAACTAAGGTGGATAAAATAACACACATAAGGTGGGTATTTGAAAATTTTGTTGATAATTGTAAGAACGCATATTCAGTTTCGGAATATATAACAATCGATGAAAAACTACAAGCTTTTCGAGGCCGCTGTAGTTTTAAAATGTATATTCCTAACAAACCAGCGAAATATGGTATTAAAATTTTTGCTGTATGTGATGCCATAAATTTCTATACAAGTAATTTGGAGATATACGCTGGAGTTCAGCCAGATGGTCCATTCAAACTTGATAACTCAGCATCAAGTGTAGTGAAACGGTTAGTACAACCAATTAGAAATACTGGACGCAATATTACAACTGATAATTGGTTCACTAGTGTACCACTTGCAATTGACCTATTCAATAATTACAAACTTACTCTAGTAGGAACAATTCGAAAAAACAAACGACAGCTTCCAATTGAATTTACATCTACAAAAAGTCGTCCTATTTACACGTCTTATTTTGGTTTTAGTGAAGATAAAGTTACAATCGTATCATATACCCCTAAAAAAAATAAAATTGTTTTGCTATTGTCTACTATGCATCATAGCTCAACAATTGATGAAAGTACAAAAGAAATGAAAAAACCAGAAATAATCACTTTTTATAACTGCACCAAAGGTGCAGTAGACACCATGGACAAAAAAACCGAGAATTATACAGTTGCCCGAAAAAGTTGTCGATGGCCACTAACTGTATTTTATTCAATACTGAATATTGCTGGACTTAATTCACAAATAATCTTTCAAGAAAATACAAATATTAAAATGTCACGCCTAAATTTCTTGAAAACTTTGTCTCGACAATTGATGGAAGAACAGTTAAAATATCGCTTGACAATAGATGTATTGCCCAAGACCATTAAGTTCAGACTAAAACAATACGCTACGAAAACTAATGAAGCTGCTGGTACCAGTCAGCGAGTTCGAGCATCAGGGAGATGTGCATTTTGTGAAAGGGCCAAAGATAGGAAAACCACTAAAGTTTGTACGAACTGTGCGAGATTAATTTGTCGTGATCATATAATAGAAACATGTCCGGATTGTTTTATAGATATGTAATAAAAAAACCAATTTAATTTAATAATTTTAGTTTTTGTTAGTTTAAAATTAACATAGAGGATCTAGCTCGGGATCTAGTTAATGATATTTTCAGCTTCATTTTTTAATATAAATTATATTCTATTTATACAATATGTATATTATATTAATTGAAATAAAATATATAAAAGTTCACATGTAATGTATCTTTGTTAGGTAAATTATTTCTGTAAATTGTGTAAATTTTCAATTGATTTTCATATGGGGTATAAAATTACCCCACGCGCGTAGTTACGTTTCTAAAAACCACGCGCGTTATCAAAGGTTAATAGCTATGATATATCATGAATACTATACTAAATACACTATATATTTTTCGATGTTACTACGGCGCTAGCTGGTGTGGTCGGCATGAATACTGTCTGCGGCAGAGTCGACCAGGGTTCGAATTTCATATACCGAAAGATATTTCTCTTACACAAGCAGTCTATAAAATTTAAAATTTTCAGCAACATTTCCTGTTAGTTTCAAACAGTCTGGTTTGTTGAACTCCATAATTGACGATCATATATGAATTGTGGAACACTTTAGTTCACTTCGATTTTATCTTTTTATCTTATTTAATCGTAAAAATCACACTAAGTTCGCGACTGCGCCATGTTTTATTAAGTTTGTTGGAGCGTAAACACTAATAATGGGTACTTTATACGATGTGTGTATAAAGACCGATGTAGATTTCCACGAAGTTTCCATAACGCCTTTCTTTCATTTTCTTATCATGTTGGTTATTGGAATATATTCGAAACGCTTTTCTCCAAAATCTGACATTTCGTGAAATACCTACCCCCGTAATCATCCACAAGCTATAGAACGGAGTGTAGAGTATTCCACGGATTTTCGGTACATGGAGTTCTTGATATACGTTTTTCTAGTGAAAATAAAATTCGATATCAACCATATTCGGAGTATAGTGCTATCCACGACGGATACTCGGAAATGCCCAGGGTACTTGCTACGATCTGCGAAAGTTTCAGGTCCATCGGGCTACCATGCCTGAGACGGCGTTCTCATTGTGCATAGGTGTTCTACCGCTGTATTCACCCAGCAACAGCTAAACGCCCTTTGGAAAATCGTATAAAATCAACCCTTCGACCAATCGTTTTGAAACTTACACACATAGTATAAAGTACCCCGAGATACCATGCCTGTGATTTTGGTTAGCCTACTACAAATATCACGGAGACGGCGATCTCATTGTGCATCGGTGGTCTACCACTGTATTCACCCGGCAACAGCTAAACGCCCTTTGGAAAATCGTATAAAATCAACCCTTCGACCAATCGTTTTGAAACTTACACACATAGTATAAAGTACCCCGAGATACCATGCCTGTGATTTTGGTTAGCCTACTACAAATATCACGGAGACGGCGATCTCATTGTGCATTGTTGGTACAGTGATACGCGTACAGTACATTTTATGCTAAATTACGTATAATCGTCTTTTAAAAAATTCCAAAAATCGTATAAAATCAACCCTTCGACCGATCGTCCTGTAACTTACACACATCGTATAAAGTACCCCGAGATACCATGCCTGTGATTTGCCATGTGTCTTAAAAACCATATTTTATTATAATGGATATATTATCATAATTTAAAACAAAATATTATAATATAATATAATATAAATTATAATATAATATAATATAATATAATATACGTATTTGTAATTAACTATTAATTATTGATACTAATTAACGTTCAAAATATATTTGTTCAACTATTTGCATGTGATCGCCAATAGCCAATTTATATTTTGGCTGTGGTGAGTATTATTATTATTTCATACATATATTTATTATAATATATTACATTATATTATATTTATTATATTATGAAATTAATTATTTGTATATGATTATAGTATGTATTATTATATTGTTTTATTCTTTTGTTCAGTGGTTTTTCACCCGTCATTGTACATCGTCAGCGCGAGCAATACCGATAACGTAACATTCGGTACCCCCGCACCCGCACGCCCAAAACTACATTAAATATTGGTTTGCAGAGAGCAGAAAAAATATCAAAATTATCCCAGCATATAACTCTACACGATGGTAAGTATAAAACAGACAAAATCTGTGGCCCAAGTTCAATGCAAAATGTCTTCAGCCTCAGAGGTGCCCGGCATAGTATTCTTGGCCGATACGCCGGGCACCTCTGAGGCTGAAGACATTTTGCATTGAACTTGGGCCACAGATTTTGTCTGTTTAATACATACCATCGTGTAGAGTTATATGCTGGGATAATTTTGATATTTTTTCTGCTCTCTGCAAACCAATATTTAATGTAGTTTTGGGCGTGCGGGTGCGGGGGTACCGAATGTTACGTTATCGGTATTGCTCGCGCTGACGATGTACAATGACGGGTGAAAAACCACTGAACAAAAGAATAAAACAATATAATAATACATACTATAATCATATACAAATAATTAATTAATTAATTAATCGAAACTTCTGTTTCTTGATTCTTCTGTAATAGTTTATTCTAAAATATATTTGTTTATCGGAGTGACGACTAATGCGTATAGATTATCACCAGTTTCATGGAAGAAAATATACTTAAATATTATGATTCAAGATTTTCAAGAAGATAAATGCGTTACGTACGTAAAATTGTGAAACATAGATGAAACAAGATTTTCAAGAAGAAAAATGCGTTACGTATCGACAGGGAATAGTTACGTACCGCCTCGTATCGAAGTCTGAGTCCGATACGAGTCGGTACGTATCGCTTGTATATCTTGAAATTTAATTGGCTCCAAATATGTTTGTCACCAAGAGTTGTTATCATTTATTTTATGTTATCATAACAAAAAATTGATATTACCGAATTAAAAAAAAAAAATACCATTTTGTTAGTGAGTTTGTCAGCTTTATTTTAAAAGTAAATACTAGTTTCTGAGTATATAGTGTCATGTTTGACTCAAAAATGTTTTTAACTATTTTTCTCGTGATCCTGACGTTTTTTACTATAACGTCTATGACCTCATTTTTTTCAGGAATAAATAAAAAGTTATGCATGAAGGAGTTAAAGGAAACAGTCAACGTTCCTGCATCTCCTCAAACTAAAGCAACACAATGACGTGAAGTCTGCATGTACGTGTTCAGAAATTTTTTTAGTGGCCGGGCAATAGTGAACACTTTTATTATTAAAATAATATTTTTTATTTATTATTATTAATACATTTTTATACATATATATAATATTTTATTTATTATATTATTTTTTATTTATTATTTATATTAATAAATATAATTATAATAATTGTATGGTTATAGTAATAATTTTAATAAAAAGTTAATTGTAATGTTCTTTAATGTATTTTTGTAGTCTAGTTATTGAGTAAAAGTTTGTAAAAGTTGTTGGTAGTTATATTATGAATTTGTATTTTCTTTATGACGTTGTCTATTGTAAGTTTATGAAGGCTCTTTTTTAAATATTGTTTATTAATGAATGTGTTATTGATGATTATTTGAACTACTTTTATATGATTATATATGTTGTTAAGCTGAAATAATAATATAAAAAAATTGAAATAAGTATTAAATAAATTGTATGTAATTTTTTTACCGTGTGGTGTACTACGCCGGGTGAGTCTAAAAGGAAATCATCGGTGCTAGCCGGAGATATGTGGAAGAGGCCTAGGGAATTGCCAGGAGATTATTCCGGACACTTTTGAATATCTCCGGCGAGCACGGCACACTATAGACTCATACGGTTAAATATATAGACTCATACGGTTAAATATATAGACTCAAACGGCACACTATAGACTCATACGGTTAAATATATAGACTCATACGGTTAAAATATATAGACTCATACGGTTAAATATATAGACTCATACGGTTAAATATATAGACTCATACGGCACACTATAGACTCATACGGTTAAAATATATAGACTCATCCGGCACATTATTTAGACTCATACGGTTAAAATATATACAAATACGGTTAAATATATAGACTCATACGGCACACTATAGACTCATACGGTTAAAATATATAGACTCATACGGTTAAATATATAGACTCATACGGCACACTATAGACTCATACGGTTAAATATATAGACTCAAACGGCACACTATAGACTCATACGGTTAAATATATAGACTCATACGGTTAAATATATAGACTCAAACGGCACACTATAGACTCATACGGTTAAATATATAGACTCATACGGTTAAAATATATAGACTCATACGGTTAAATATATAGACTCATACGGTTAAATATATAGACTCATACCAAATCAGGGTTTTGACTTAGAGTCATGAAAATGGCATGAGTGCATTCCTCAATACCTCCACTATCAGCCCTTATAGTTTTTGAGAACAACAAGTACAAATAACGGCCGTCCGGCAGGTAAGTACGGGATTTAGCACCGCAGAACTGCAATCAAAAAATCATTTTTTCAGTTATAAGTCCTGGACACCGTAATTCTCAATTCTTATTTTTGAAACTTGTACACCTAATAGCCACCGATTATATCTATCTGACGATGTGCTTTTCATAACGATAGTACAATTATTGGGTTTTTGGTGATTTTTCAAAAGACATGTTATTTTTAAAAATGTCTTCATTACTGGGGTATTCTAAATATTTCATGGTATCTATGTATTGATATTTACGTATATCGTCGGTAGGTATTTTAGAAAATCGTATAAAATCAGGGTTTTGACTTAGAGTCATGAAAATGGCATGAGTGCATTCCTCTTTACCTCCGCTATCAGTCCTTATAGTTTTTGAACAGTACAAGTCCAAATAACGGGCACCCGGGAGGTAAGTTTGAAAATTAACCGCTGGGTTGCATGGCAACCCGGCAGCAAGGCAGCTATGCCCCAGTTCAAAAAATCGTATAAAATCAGGGTTTTGACTTGGAGTCATGAAAATGGTATGACTGCATTTATCGTTACCTCTACTATCATCCCTTATAGTTTTTGAGAACAACAAGTACAAATAACGGCCGTCCGGCAGGTAAGTACGGGATTTAGCACCGCAGAACTGCAATCAAAAAATCATTTTTTCAGTTATAAGTACTGGACACCGTAATTCTCAATTCTTATTTTTGAAACTTGTACACCTAATAGTCACCGATTATATCTATCTAACGATGTGTTTTTCATAACGATAGTACAAGAATTGGATTTTTGGTGAATTTTCGAACCCAACATGTAAGAAAACGAAATGTGCTCAATACCCCCCCATTGACCTTCCCCACCCGAAAACTTCCAAGATATTCATTTCCACAAAAATTTGAAAAATGATTAATGCTCAGCGTCTCGAACTCTACAAGTTTATGGTCTTAAAGTGCCAATTTTCGAAAAGGAAATTATATGTGCTCGCCGGAGATATTCAAAAGTGTCCGGAATAACACCGAGTAGCCACCGATTACACCTATCTAACGATATGCTTTTCATAAAGATAGTACAAGAATTGGATTTTTGGTGAATTTTCAAAGCGGACATATTAATAATGGAAATGTTCTCAATACGGGGGTATTCTCATTATTTCGATATACACAGCACATTTCGTTGTATGAGATGTCGGGTTTGATAATTCACCATAAATCCAATTACTTTAATTAATCGTTTCTACCGGCATTTTACCCATAGATAGTTGCCCGGCATAGTATTTTCGGGAATAAGATATTTTCTTGGCATGGGCAGCATGTTTAATTTCTTGAAATTATCTATGGCACATATTTTGATAGTCATGACACGACATACGTGCAGTCCGCATTTCACTTTGACAGCGTACAGTTTGTAATTCTCATGGACAACAACGTATTGTTATATATTGACTTTCTGTCTGACGAAATGTCAACCAACGTGTATTATAAAAAAATGAATAGGATGATACGGGAAAACGAGAGGAGGTTGCTTATAGATTTGGACGACGTACGTAAGTACAATATTTATAATTCAAAACAATTATTAACAAATTTTATGCAAGAAGAAGTATCATTAAAGCTTGCCATTAAAGAATGCGTCAAAAACATAGACGCAACTTATGCTAATAAATATAATGAATTTTTTGTCGGCTTCTATGGCGCATTTGGTGCAAATCATGTCACCCCTAGGACGTTAAACTGCAAGTTTTTAGGCCGGTTGGTATGTTTAGAAGGTTTTGTAACTTTGAGGTCTGAAATGAAATCAGTATTAGTAAAAAGTGTACATTACTGTCCAACAACTAAAAAAATGCACGAACATATATATACTGACCCTCTATCAAACTCAAATAGTTTTGATTCTGCTTCATCAGAATTCACATACCCGATAAACGATAATGAGGGCAACCGCTTGGAGACGGAGTTTGGGCTTTCCGTGTTTAAAGATCGCCAGACTTTAGTGATTCAAGAATCCACGGAAAAAAGCCCACCCGGGCAATTTGCCCGGACTGTTGAAGTGATTGTAGAGCATGATTTGGTGGATGTTTGTAGACCGGGGTACAAGATAATGATTATTGGAAATTATCGTCCTTTTCTTCCACCTAGTGGCAGTATATTTTTTAAAACATTGATTATTGCAAATACCATAATTATGAAAAATGCAAATTTTACTGTCGAACGGTCCGACATTACAAAGTGTAGGAACCTATTAAACATAGAAAAAAATAATATTTTTGATTTATTGGTAAACTCAGTAGCCCCCTCCATCCATGGAAATATCCAAATAAAAAGAGCTATACTATGTTTATTGTTGGGTGGAGTAGAAACTACTCTACCCAACAACTCCCGGATACGTGGAGATATCCACGTTTTATTAATTGGAGATCCAAGTATTGCAAAATCACAATTCTTGAGATGGGTGTTGAATGCTGCTCCCTACGCTGTATCCACTACAGGAAGAGGATCGACAGGAGTTGGACTAACTTTTTTTTTATTATTATTCACCTATACCAAATCATAACTTTAATTTTTAATTTTTTGGTAAAAAAACTGAAACCATTTCATTTGATTTCGAGGAGACATTATAACAGAACGGTTTAAAATATATATCAAAAGGAAGGTTCCTCTATTAATTTATCACAGTCAAGTTCAACTCCTAATAGGGCAGCTTTAGTGAAATTTGCCTGTACTGAGGAAATGCCATCATCAAATGAGACATTAAATAATAATAATTATAATTTAGATCTAGAACCAGGCAAGTTGGACATTTTCACTGATGGTAATTATACCTGTAGTAATAATCATAATAATGTCCATAATTTACCAACCAATAAAAGTTTTCAATTGTATGAAAATGATTGTCAAAATAATTGTTCTTTACAAGATAAATTATCACAACTAATTGCAAAATATCAAATTTCACATAATTGTGTAAATGAATTACTCTCCATCTTACGATCAGAAGGTTTGGATGTACCTAAAGATGTAAGATCATTATTGAAAACTCCTAAATATAAATCACAAAATATCATTCAAATGGAAAATGGCTCATATATTCATATTGGAGTTGAGCGAATGATTAAACCCATTCTGTACACATATTTTGAGAGTATAAAAAATTTAAACTTAATTGAGTTGAGTGTCCATGTTGATGGATTATCTATTTCTGATAGCTCAAAATCTAGTTTCTGGCCTATTTTAGTTTCTTTTATAAATGTTCCAGAAATTAATAAAATTGTACTACCTGTAGGAATTTTTCATGGAAGGAGTAAAAAACCCGGTTCAGTATATACTTTTTTTGATCCATTTATTACTGAGATAAAATCAATGTTTGAAAATGGAAATGAAATAAATCAAAAACTTTTTCAGTTTTCTATTTCTCAAGTAGTATGTGACGCGCCGGCTAAAGCATTTGTGTTAAACGTAAAATACTTGAACGCATAATCATAGTTGCAACTCATGTCTAGAACAAGGGGAATTCATAAACAGAAGAATGTCTTTTTTGGGTATTAATTAAGAACTGATGCAAAAAGTCCATGTTTATAAAAAAATTGTATTCATATAATATACAACGGCGCCTGGCCGCCCCCTAAATATTTCAAACTTGGCCGCTCGGGGCAAATGTCCCCATTGCCTTCCCTTAAATATGGCTATTAGTATTAAGTCTTACCTAATAAATAGTAAGACAGAAGGAAATATTTTATCAATTTTCCTATCTAATATTAAATAATAACTATAAATTAAGTAGTAATTATTATATACTTTGTTTATTAGAACCGACTTAATATGTATTTAATGTACTTAATGTGTTGGCTTTATTGGCATGGCACCGGCCAATTCAATAATCTTGACAGATGGGGTTATCGAGCATAGGTTAACTTAACATCCAAAAAATAGAAAACGGGATTTTGTGTTATAACTATTTATTTTGTTTATCGTATTAAACACAGGATTGGCGTTAGTATGAATTTATAATATATTCTATTTAATACTATACAATTAGTGTTAATTTTTTATTTCACCTTGATCCACATTAACCTCAACAAGTTAGGGGATTTTAAAAATGTATATTATGTAAGTACGTATTTATGGGTGTAGGTACCTATTATTATATATTTCATCCCCCCCTCTAGCAAAATTCCTAAATACGCCACTACTCGTTAGTCGTAGATACATGGTTTTGGTACTGAATTAAACATGAGAAGTTTAACAAATAAATAATGGAAAACATTTTTGATAACTCAATTTGTCGGTTTCATATAATTTTTTGAAAAAAATGTACAAAGTACAAATTTCAAATAAAATTAAAAAAGTTTGAAAAAAAATTTAATAAATCTGTTCCAACAGTTATTAGTTAAACTTCTCATGTTCAATTTGGTATAAAAATCATGTTTTTACGGCTAATGATACCAAAGTACTATTTTAATTACAAAAGTATGTTTTTAGTAAAAAAAGTGATGAATTTACAGCGGTCCTTAGCAGCAGTTGTAGTCGCGGCAGTATTCCAAAACCGTCCATATCTCGCGCATAAGCAGCGATAGTTCACCTAATGACAAAACCAGTTCGTCTTATCGCATCCGTGCACGATCTATAAATAAACAATTCGTCGACACTAATATAATATTATGGCCGTAATTAATTACGGCCATACGGGTCGGGTAACAATAGTATTATATAGATAAAAAAAATAGGCCACTCGTTTCTTAAAAAGGTGGGTAAGTGGATGTCGCTCTGCTGTACAGTAGGTTACAAGTGGGTCACTGTATAATGGATGCTTTTAAATTTGAATTCAATGATACAATATCATTGTATAAGAAAAACGATTCTGAGCGAAGACGGTATGTCAGTCTAGGTTTAAGACAAATTATATTATACATATCTATGGTATTAAAAAAAAAATTGACTTATAATAAATTCCAAATTAATCATATCACATTATCACAATATCCATTAGGTACTTTAACATGTTATACATCAACATCAATAACAAACCCTGATACTATCATAGATATATAATAGTACACTTTAGAAGTTTCAAGTAGGTACCCACGAATAAAATTATATAATCACAACAAAATAACTAGGTTTTTTAATATGTAATTTCGTCCAAATTTGAACATAAAATGACTATAAAAATAAACTGTGATTGTATATTTTTTAGATTTTTCGGTAAGAGAATTAATTACTTACGTGGAATCTTGTTTTTCATTTTCAATCCTTAGCTATAAAAACTGAACATTTTATAATTTATTAATTACGAATTACGATGATTAATCATTTTCGAGATTTTGAAAAATTCTGTCAAAATTCGATGTTTAAATGCTTATAAAAAAAAATTGTGAATATGTATTTTTAATATTTTTCAACTGATATTGTAACAATATATCAGGAGCCTTGTATTAAATTTTTACACTTTTTGGCCCAACAGATAAAACTTTATTGATATTCATAGAAAAAAAAAACTAAAAAAATAGAAAAATGAAAATATCCGTAAACAGCTCAAAAAGAGTCGAAATATTTTCAAAATTGTATGGTGTATAGGAAATGCTAATATAAACATTCAGTGAAATTTTCATGTATCTATAGTTATTCGTTTATAAATAACAACAAAATAAGGAAATCGCTACATGAGAAATCGAGTGAACATCCAATGTTGTAAAAATTTGAATTTCAAACGCTTATAAAAATTTAATTTGACTGTCTGGTAGAGATTTTTTTATTGATAAAGGTAGACAAACTTATGAGTAATCTTGTATTACATTTTCAAATGTTAGATTTAAAAAGAAAAATTTTTACGAATTCTTAACTCAAAATAATTTGCTAATTTTCGTGGTTTTTCCATATTTTGTCAATTTTTGAACTTTAAATGCTTATAAAAAAAAATTGTGATTAAGGATTTTTAATATTTTTCATCTGCCTTTGAAACAATATATTAGGAGCCTTCTATTAAATTTTCAAGTTTTCGCAACCAACAAATAAAATGTTATTGATATTTCTAGAAAAAAAACTAAAAAAAAATTAAAAATTAAAATGTCCCTAAACTGTTCAAAATAAATCAAATATTTTGAAAATGTTATCGTGTATAGAAAATGCAAATATAAACAACCAGTGAAAATTTCATGTATCTACAGTCATTTGTTTTAAGTTACACCAAAAACCAAATTCAATTTTCTGAAAAATCAATTTTGCGTAAAAATTCCCGTTTTTCCTTAATTTTTCTATTGTTTTTCTTGGCGCTTTTGAAAAGTACTGGGAATTTTAAATTTAGACCCCCCCAATGCACCAACGATATTCATTTTCCAATCGAACAAGATACTGAAGTCGAAAATCGGAGCATTATTTCGACTACTTATCGTGTACACAAACACAAAAAAAAAAAAAACACACATCATTGTAAAATCAATACATTCATCGTTTCACTCAGAATCTAAAAATGCTAAATTTATTTTATGATATATATAATTTATATCGAATGATTCTAATATTTCCAACTTGAAACTATACCTACATTTTGAACGTTCCTCACTTGATCGTTAACGAGTGGCAAGGGCGGACGTCGATTTATCTGACATTTTCAACTTTTCAACCACGGATAGAATATATTTCTCAATATATTTTATGAAGTTGAACATGCTCTTTGGAAGTTCACAGCACACGTTGTCAGTGACTTTTCAACAGCAATATTTAAAGGGTTTGTGAGAGCATTCGACGAATGTAACGAGGTCGTTGAATATTTGAATAAATGTTATGAGTTCATGTATAAAGGGAATTTTTTTAATTGCAACGCACTGATAAGTCTTTGTTGTTGTCATTTAATCAAAAATATCTCTGACAATACTCATAAATATTATAAAGGAAATGGAAAGAAGATGACAAATGGCTCTTTGGCGTGCTTGGCAACTGCGTGTATCTCTCCAGCTTTCAACATAACCACCACGGAAGGTCTGGACAAATGGTTCACTGCAGTTACAACGGTGTTGTTGTCATCCAGCAAGACTGGAGATATGGATGATGCCATGGACACCTTGAAGCAGCTCAATAATGATAATCCAAGTAGTCTAGTTGATGATCTAATCACAAAACAAAGAAATGTTACATTAGATGAACAAATAAGAGATGCTAAGACGTTTTTACCGGTACAAAGATTCCAAATTTTTGTCACGTTTTGAAAATATAGTTGTTATGGTAAAAGAAACATTAAAAATGTGTTCTAGTTTTGAAGAAAACCCATTGTATAGCGTTGAATTTCACAATGATATCATGGGGTCTATCATTCCGGTGATTCCAATGTGGACAGGCGTGATGTGGTTCAAAGTATAATGATCCACAGACAGAGCAAGCAATGCTCCAGCAGAGAGTTGGTTTGGAGATTTAAAAACCAACAAAAAATGTCGGCGAATGAAATGTGGAAGATTTGTTCAACTTACTAGAATTATTATATTGAGTAAATGTAAAGAAGTACTGCTAGATATACCTTCAAATTATTATTCACTTCCTCCGGGCCAAAATAAACAAAAGAAAACTGTAAAAAAAGAATGTACATAATTTATTAGTTTGGTTACGTCAGCATCTGATGACAACGAGGAAAAAGAACATTGGGGACCTAGAAAGAAAAAAATGGGTTTCTACTTCCAGGGTCATTTAAAATCTGCCACAAAGAAACTTCAGACTGGTGCAACTCGTTCGCAACTCCATCCAAATTGTTTACCTAGATATCGATGACTCTTTTGCGCACAACGAATACCGTCGTTAACCTAAAAACGGACGACTCGTTTGCGCACAACATAAATACTGCATAACATATATTTTATATTTTTAAATTTGTACTAACTTAAGTAATTTTAAGCAAGTGCGCCCAGGGATTAACTTTAGAAGACAGTATTGACAGAGATAGTTGGAAAAAAGTAGTAGAGGCAGTGAATGTCCTTAAAGGACAGTAAAAGCTGAAGAAGAAGAAGAACTTAAGTAATTGATTATCGGTACAAATTATCAGTACATCAGTATATCAATATTCAATATATCATTACAATCATTGAAAATAATCGACGTGTATTAAACATAATATTTTTAAGCAGTCGTTCTCCAGAAAGCGGTACTACCTACTGACTAGTGACTATGGATATCGAAATTTGTGGTATTTTTGAAACGCGTCGAGGTAAAAAGTGTATAAATATAGATAGTTATAAATTTAGAGAATTTCGAACTTTAAAATCTAGAGATACACATTTTAGGTGTACAAATAAAAAATGTTCCTTGAGTGATGTAGTAAGGTTAGTTAATAATAAAAAAATGTAAAATTTTAAAAATGACAAACTTGCATAAAACCACTATTACTTCTTATTAATTGTATAATTATATATTTATTCAGAACAGACACACACGACATGCACATTTTTAATCACGCCTGTACAAAACAGATGGTCCTAAAGTATGGTATTAAGTGAGAAGAGAAATGTGCTGTTCTGCTCAAAGTTAAATGTGCGCAAATGAGTTGTACCTTTATAATTTAAACCAAAATATGTAAAAAAGGTAAATGTGCGCAGACGAGTCGCACCCACTTCAGACGCAGATAGTTATAAAGCATTCGTCCCCGATAGATAATATAAAAGATGATAAGATTTGTAAGACACCGAATGTAAATTTGCTCTTACTTGATTCCCGAAAAACAGATGACGAAATAGTAACTCCAAATACAAGGGCATTATCAAAATCTTTTGTTTCTACAAAAAGTTACAAATCTCCAGTAGATGGTCTACGGTGCAAAATGGATTTATACAAAAATAGATTACCAAAGGATAAAGATTATTATGGCCCCGTTTTGAAGAAAGACGGTACACAATTAGATTATTTGTTCGGATCTTATTATAGTGTTACAGACATGTTATGATTTATGTTTCAGTAGCTTTGACTCACTATCAATTTATGAGATTAACGACACCTTTATAAATATTTGAACCATCAACATTTTTCTAAAAATCAGGTTCTCAAAGTAGCTATTTTGGAGTTTTCAAATAAATTTTTTATCAAATTTAAAGTTTTTATTTTCAGAATTAAATTATAGGTTTTTTATATACAATACATGTAGCGCTAGCGTCTACTATAATTATTTATAACAAAAAAAAATTAAAAATATTGAATACCTACTAAAATAGTTATTCAATATATCAGAACATTGTGTTACACTCTGTATACTTTTTTATTTATTTATTTATTTATTTAATTCTAGTTACAAGACAAATACATGATATAACAAAGACAAATATTAACTAGACGTTACTCTACACTGAGGTAGAACCTCGTGTCGTAGAGTAAGAGTACATTTTTTTTTTTTTTTAGTAGCCGTGATAATAATGAAAGATAATAGAGACCTTATATAAAACAAATAATATAATAATAATAATAATAATTAATATAATAATAAAAGAGAACTTTAATACTAGATATTTAAAGATTATTGTAAAACCAATTTTTTAATTTATATTTAAAATATGAATAATTTGAAATAATTAATAATTCTTTAGGAATCTCATTTAAAGACCTTAATCCAACTTGTATGAATGACATTGAAGCTTTTTTAGTAACAACGAAAGGTATTTCAAGATTTGTTTTTCTGAAGTTGTATGTTTGATTTTTAATATTAAATAAACTATTTTTTAAAATAGGCAAATTGATTGTTTTTTGTATAAATTGTCAATATCAAGTACTCTTAACATTTTAAATAATTCAGATGAAGGAAAGGTTTTCGGTTTATTTAGAATGATTTTAATTAAGTTCTTTTGTCTTATTGATAAATTACATTTTAAAGTGGTATTGCAACCACCCCAAGCTATTATGCCGTATTGAATTAGTGATTGAGCCATTGCAAAATATGTTATTCTAATTACCTGTTTGTTTAGTATTTTTTTTGCTATAATGAAAAAGTATGTTAGTTGTCTTAGTTTAACTATTATGTATTCTATATGATTATTCCATTTTAAGTGTTGATCTATTGTTATGCCAAGGTATTTAATTAATTTTGGACAGGTGTATGTTAGGGTGTTGCAATTAAATTTTTTGTGTATAATAATCTCGTTTTTAAGTGGTGTAGTTCTTATGTCATTGGTAAAAGCTATAAATTTTGATTTGTCATAATTTATTTCTAAACTATTATTCGAAAACGATTCATCAATTACTAACCTATCAGCTTCACATTTTCGCCAAACTGTATCCCAGTTAGAGTCAGAGACTATGATGGCCGTGTCATCTGCATATGAATAAATTTTTCCATTTATATAAAGATTACTTAATTCAGCTACGTATATAATGTATAGAATTGGGGAAAGTACTGTACCTTGGGGGACTCCATTATGAATTTGACCTATTTCATTTACTGTGTTACCTATTCTAGTTTGTTGGGTTCTTTGATTTAAGTATGATTCGAAAATTTTGAAAGCTGTCCCTGTAATGCCAAGAGTGTAGTCGATTTAGCAAAATAGAATGAGATATGCGGTCAAAAGCTTTGCTTAGGTCTAAGAATATACCGATAGTTTTATTGCGTTTGTCCATGTTATTATATATTTAATTTGTAAGGTGTGCCAATGCATCTTCAGTACCTAAACCCTTTCTAAAACCATATTGTGAATTAGGCACTGATTTTTCAAATATCTTAGAGAATAAATTTAATAAACTAATTGGTCTGTAGTTAGTTAAGCTCGTTTTAAGTCCACTACCTTTATATAACGGTACTACTACTGCCTTTTTAAATGAATCTGGAATAAGCCCTTCTTTTAATATTTGATTAAAGATTATTTCTAATATATTGGACATACATTTATTAAATTTATTAATAACATTAATAGATATACCATCTATACCTGGTGCTGAGTCATTTTTCATATTGGAGATTATATTGGATATTTCAGTTTTAGTAATTTTTCTAAAATATAGCAAGTGAGATTGATTATTAGAAATATTTGGATTTTCATTTATTGTATTACTTTTTTTGTGGTTGCCCATTTTTAAAAAATAATTATTAAATTCATTGGCAAGGAGAAGTGGATCTGTATTAGAATCGTATGTACTATTGTTTATTTTTAATCTGATATTAGATGAATTTTATGTATTTTGTGTAGTTGCTTGTTTTATAGTGGACCAGATTTTCTTAGGGTTATTTATGTTCGTTTTTATTTTTTCACTAAAGTAATTAATTTTTGCTTTTGCAATGATCTCGGATAATTTATTTCTGTATTTTTTATATTTGCTTTTTAATAATATATTAAACGGTTCTTTTCTAGATAATTTGTGTAACTTATCTCGTTTTTTTAATGGATTTTATTATGCCTGATTGAATCCATGGGTTATTGATTTTTTTTGGCTTGCGCTGGTTTTCAGTTGTAGATTGTTTTAATAAATTTTGTAATGTAGTTGTAAATATATTTATATTAAAGTTTGCATTATTACTATCAGTTATGACGTCAACCCATTTTGTATGTTTAATTAGATCATTTAGCTTATTATAATTAATTGAACTATAGATAATTGTTTCTGCATTTATATTGATGTTATTTGAGTTGGAATTCATATATATTACTTGCGTAATTACGGGATAGTGGTTTGTTATTAATGAGTCGATAAGAGATACCTGGATGGAAATCTGTGAGTTGGTATTAGTATTGATGTTTGTAAAAACATGATCTAAACAGGAGTTTGATTCGGGGCGTGTGGCAATATTCACATGTGATGTAAAATTCAGTGTGTTGAGTATATCTAAATAGTTTTCTGTAGTATGTGATGTATCAAGTATATTAATGTTTAAATCACCTATGATAATTATTTTAGTATTTTTGTGAGTATTGAGTAAGTTTGTAATAACATTATTGAATTCTATAAGAAAGTTGTTGATATTGCCATTAGGAGATCTGTAGATAGATAAAATGCCATATTTATGGCCATTATGTTCTATTAATGACAATAAACAATTTGTGTCTTGAATAATTAATTCGATTGTGTCGTGAACTATATGTTCTTTTATAAACATAATAATACCATCGGATTTACGGACGTGGTTTTTTGTAGATTCAATATTAAAGCCTTTGCAAAATGGAATATATTTCGAGTTGAAGTCATTACCTATCCATGCTTCTGACGTAATTATAATATGACATTTTTCATTTAAAGAGATATATAAATGTTCTAGATCGTTTATATGTTTGTTTATACTTCTAATATTTGTGTGTAGTATATTGAGGCTGTTGTTATGTTTAGATAAGTTTATATTTATATCATTAATGCATTGTTGTTGAAAGTGAAGCTTGACGGACTAATGATGTTAGCATTAATATAATAAGTAATAACACGACAATATGATTATGTATAAGTATAATATATAATAACGTACAACTGGACAATTAAACTGTGACAGTACACACACATCGTATACGCTCTGTACAACGACGCCTGTGCAAGTGAATATTACATACATCAAAGGCCCTATATATATGCACGACCGAGGTCATGTTACATCCGTGAAGAGAGTGAGTCTTAGGCCGGGCGCACATTGAGACGCAGGCGACGCAGCGCAGCGTAGGTCAGCGCAGCGTAGTTTTCTGTAATCTATTAGCTAGAACTTACTAGCGCATATTGGGAGGCAGGACAGGGCAGAGCAGTGCTGTGTCTATGTTGGCCTGTGTCACGTAGTCCTCGCGACACAGATTACTGCACACGTGCACGAGCTTTGTGAATTACGATATTACTATAATTTGAAACTAAACTAATTAAACTTGTAAAATAAGTCAAGCTTTTTTAAAAATTACGATGGAAGAGACTTTAATTGAAGCCGTCAGACATTACAATGTCTTATATGACACTAGTCATGCCGACTATATGAAGGGCAAGTTGAAAAATGAAATATGGGAAAAGATTGCCACTGAACTTAAATTAAATAATGGTAAGTACCTAGTATTCAATTCATTTATATTACCTAAAATAATATTAATATTAGGTACTATTATAATTAATATTCTTTCATTGCTAATATAACTAAAATAAAACAAATTTACTGATATTATATTAATCAGTTGGGCTCGGGGCTTAATTTAATTTTTATATCAATTATATCAATGTTTCATGAAAACACGTAGGTATTTTTCATGCATGTAACATGTTATGATGTACAACGTATAAATTGTAATATAGATATGAATATTTCTCTTTCTCGTTTTATGAACAATTGTAATAATTAAGTATGAGTAAGTAAGAATTTGAAGATCAAAAGTGTTCGGCGTACTATTGAAATGAAATCTGGATTATCGACAAACTTACCAAATACAGATAAGATATTTTACGATAACTCACTTATATTATTTGATTTTATCTAATTTTAAACATTGGAGAATAACATTGGCTATTTTAAACATTATCTTGGTTTAATTATAATTATGTCCTATATTATACATAATATACATTATACGTCAACGATATTTGTCACAAATTTCTGTATAACTATACTAAATTTCTTATCTTTGATTATGAATGATGATTTTAATTTATTTTACAACTGATTTGTGAATACCAAATTATAATAATATATAAGGTAATAATAATAAACTTAATAACAAGTAAAGATTTACGTATTTATTTTTCATACAAATTTAAAGTTTATAATATTGTGGAAAATTGATTTATACCTAGTAAAACATTATAATAAAACAATAAAAAAATGACAAATAAATAAAATAGTTTTTATAAAGTGTATATTATATCAACATTTTATACAAATAAAAGTAGTTAGTACTTAGTATTTACCTCTAGAAACACTATCCGATTGCCATGGTACGCTTCCCACCGTGTTAAAATAATCTGTGAACTTTTGTCTTACACAAAAAGCATTTGATCCACTTCTAGTGTTGTTGTTGGTTAATGGCAGTAATTGATTTTCAGGCATTTCATTTTCACTACTATCACCTTGCATATTATTTAAAATTATTGTTTCATTTCTTAAATAATTGTGTAATACACAAGCTGCTTTTACAACATTATCAACACTTTCAATTTTAGTTTCAAAAGGTCTTCTAAACACTCGGAATCGTGATGCTAAGATTCCAAAAGTGCATTCAACAGTTTGCCGTGCTCGAGAAAGTCTATAATTAAACACTTTATTTTTAAAATTGTTTGTAACACTTCTATTTGGATAAGGTCGCATAATATTTTCGGATAGTGGAAACGCTTCATCTGCTACAAAAGCATAGGGTAGTATTTGATCATAGTCGGTTAAAGCTGCTGGTGGAGGAAGTCTTAAAGTTTGTTTATTAAGTTTTTTTGCTAACGCACCACTCGAAAATATATTGGCATCACTGAATCTTCCCATAGAGCCTATATCAATACTAATAAATTTGTAGTGAGCGTCAACTATTGCCATTAAAACCACGGAAAATGTTTGTTTATAATTATAAAATGAAGTTCCGCTTTTGGGTGGTTTTTTAATCACAATGTGTTTGCCATCTAGAGCGCCAATGCAGTGTGGAAACTGCCATATCTGTTCAAATTCATTCGCGATCAATTTCCACATTTCCATTGTGGGTTCTGGTAAATATATTGGTTGCATGTTGTTCCATATAGCAGTGGCCACTTCATTTATAATCTTTGAGACAGTTCGATCCCCCATTCTATAACTATATGCGATACTTTTGTAACTATCTCCTGAAGCTAAATACCTATAACCAACCGGGAAAACAGTTTTTTTAATAAAATGCTGTAAAAAAAACTGTGTTTATATATTTTTAGATTTTTTGGTAACAATATGAACTATTTATAAGAATCTTTGTTTTAAATTTTCAACCTTTAAAAATTAAAACTAAAAATTTTTTAATTTTTTAATTACAATGATTGATCATTTTCGAGATTTTGATACATTTTGTCAAAATTCAAACTTTAAATGCTTATGAAAAAAAATATTTAAAAAATATTAAAATTGTGCCAGGTGAAACAGTGAAAACAATGTGGAATAAATTGAGGAACTGTCATAGAGATGCTCTACGGAGGCAAAAAAAAATGTTTAAAAGTGGAGCTGCAGCCGAGACAGTAAGACAGTGGAAATTCCAGAAACAAATGGAGTTTTTGTTGCCATACATGGAAAACCGAAAACGTAGTGCCAATATAGTTGACAGTGATGATGACCGATCTGACAATGCAGACACTGAGGATAGTCAAATTATAGAGACACTGCAGACACCAATCTTGGAGAATAATTTTGTACTGGGAGGAGATAATGAAGTGCACAGCAACAAGGAACTAGATGATTCTGTTGAAAAATTAATAGATACTCCTTCGTCATCTGGAATGCAATTTACTTTTAAAGAACCACCAAAAAAATTGAAAAAAAATGATATAGGCAACCTAATTCAACAGTCCATAGCGAACCGTGAAAAACGAGCCAAAGAAAGATCAATTGAACGTCAAAAATTGGTAGAAATCAAAACTCCAAATGATCCGCTCTACCATTTCTTTATGTCCATGTACCAAACGACTTATAAAATGCCACCGGCATCTCAACTTATTATAAAAAATAAATTATTTGAAGTTGTTTCGCAAGTAGAGTATGATCTTTTGAATTTCCAACAAAACAATGCTTTTCCAGAACCTCAGTCACAACAGATACAACAAAATATCTACAGTCAACCTCAGTCTTCTTCTACGTGGTCATACGGAGAAAATTCATCTACTTCTCGCGAAAGTTCAGTTTCTGAAAATGTTGAGAACCAAGATGGGCAAGATGGTATTGTTCATTATATCAATACTTATAAAGAATAATGTTTTAAAATTACATTATAGCAAGTTATTATTTCTAGTTATCTAATATTATTTCTTACTTTATTTCTAATATTAAGTATTGACTTATACAGAATAGTTTTTTTAATTTACTTTAGAAGTTTAATAAATATGATTTACCATATTAATATAACATAAAATCATTAACTAAAGGATCTTGTTTTTATTTGGTGTTCTTAACTTTGTTGTTAAAATAAAATGTACAACATTTCAATGCTTAGGCCTTATTGTATAATAATAATATAATTATTCTTTATTATTATTTTATTGTTAAAAAACTTACCTTAAAAAGACTGCCAGTTTTTCTTCGGGATCAATCGGCTTTTGAGCATTACATCCAAATGAATAAATTGTATCTCGTATTAAATTAAGAACTTCATTAAATTGATTTCGGTCCAAGCGAAAGTAGTTTAAAAATTGTTTGTCAGAAAATTCCGATGACAAATTGAACTCACCGTGACTTTGTCTTTTTTTCATAAAATTACTTTTCCACGTTTTTTTTTCTTTACTTAACGAATACAACAAAATAAGTTCATCAAATTCGTCATCGGAATCTGATTCAGAACTTAAATTTATTAAATTTTCGGCCATCATACTATCGCTCATGCTCACGGTGAACAACAACTGTCACAATGAACGGTGAAACGTCAGAACTGCGTAGTAATATGCGCTCACTTTGGTAGCGCAGTTTTTCCTGTGCTGCGCTAACCTACGCTCGCTAACCTACCTGCGTATGTGCTCGTACATAACTAGTTACTATATTGTACACACGTGTCAAGGCTGACTACATTTACTACATATTAATTGTATATTTCAACACCCTCCCTCAATTAATAATCTCTTTAATTGTAGTCACTCCTATGGCTGACCGCAACTTCTCGAATCGTTCCTTAACCAAAGGCTTGGTTAGAATGTCCGCAATCTGGTCCTCTGTTCCAATGTACTGTAGTTGGAATTGTCCCTCTTCGTATTTCTCCCGTATGAAGTGGTACCGTACGTCTATGTGTTTTGTCCGCTTATGAAACTCCGGATTCTTAACTAAACGTATAGCACTCTGATTATCTATAAATAAAACTGGTTGTTTGTCACCTGTTGTTGATAAGCTTGTTATCAACCGTGTAATCCACAAGATCCCTTTGACAGCTTCACTGGCCGAAATATATTCAGCCTCTGTCGATGATAACGACACACAATGTTGTCTCTGCGATGTCCATGAAATTATGCTTGACCCGTACCTGAATAGAAATCCTGACGTCGAACGTCGTGTCTGAATGTCACCTGCGTAATCTGAATCGCTAAATATTTCTAATGACAATTGTGTATTATGATTAAAATACAAGCCATAATTAAATGTTCGCTTGATATATCGTATAATCCGTTTTACCAAGTTCCAATGAGCTTTAGTTGGTTTTGCTAAGTAACGACTAGCAAAGTTTACTGCATATGCTATATCTGGTCTTGTTACCTGTGATAAGAACAGTAAGCTACCTACTGCCTGCCTATAAGGAATATCTTCATTCAATATTTCCGTATCCTCTTTTTGTTCAAGTGTATGTGATTTGTCTATTGGTATTGAAAGTTCCTTGGCGTCCAGCATATTAAATTTATTAATTATGCTACATGCATAATTTGTCTGATGCACAAATAATGAACCATTTTTCAATATATTTACCTGCATACCTAGGAAATAATCTAAGTTTCCTTTTTTAACCTCAAACTCTTTCTCCAAGTTCGTTAAAAGTTTCTCTATTATCTCTTCATTATCTGCCGCGATTAAACCATCGTCAACAAATATTGCAAGAATAATTTGGCTGTTATCAGCTTTGAATACACATGCATCCGCTTCGGTACATTGTAAACCAAATGCATTCAAAAAGTTCTTAAAGCGTATATTCCAACATCTTGGACTTTGTTTTAAGCCATATAAACTACGCTGAAGCTTACATACTTTATTCGATCCATCTTCGTATCCTGGTGGTTGTACCATGTAAATTTCTTCCTGTAGTTCTCCGTACAGAAATGCTGTCTTGATGTCGAATTGTCGTAGTATTAATTTTTCCACCGCTGCTACTGCGAATATCGCCCTAATTGATTCGTATCTGACCACTGGCGAAAATGTTTCATGGTAATCTATACCGTATTTCTGTGAACAACCTTTAATGACCCATCTGGCCTTAAACTTATCGATATTACCGTCACTTTTATATTTGGTTTTGAACACCCATGCATTACGTAACGCAACCTTGCCCTGAGGCAAATTAACTAGTGACCAAGTGTTATTTTTGTGTAGTGATTTAATTTCATCACTCATAGCGTGCTCCCACTCGTTTTTCTGTGGGCCAGCTATCGCTTCATCACGATTTAGTGGTTCAACGAGATTGGCGACGAACGACGACACATTATACCTGATCGGCCGATGGATCTATAGTATAACCTAACCTATAGCTGGTATTATTTTTTTAATCACATCTTTAGTTTCTTTGATATATTGTAATGATACTTCGCCTCTTGTCATAATATGCTCTGTAATCTCTATGCACGTTAATTCTAATTTTTCTGTTTGTTCCTCTTGAATTTGTACGGATTTATGGTTTTGTTCGAGTAAATGCTCATTTTTATCGAGTTTATTCAAATACGATTTAACAATTTGTTCGAGATTTACTAAAAATGTATTAGCTTCACTATACTCAGGCCACTCTAAGAGCGCTTCTGGGCGGCAACCAAAATTCGTCCGTTCTCGCGCACTCCCACCACTGAACTTTTCAAAACACTAGCCGCCGTTAACGCGATCCGCCGACACCGTCGCCGTCGTTGCTCCCACTCACCTACGCAACCGCCGACCGGTGACAGTGTTTGTATACAGCGCGTACTAAAGTGTTCTGATATTTTTTTACGTTCTTGAATACACACACAGCATTTATGTTTTTTTGCGCGCTAAGTTTGTTTACATACTTTTTGCGTGTCTTAACTAACAGTTATTTTTTCAATTTTTTCAATTTTTACGTTTTTTTTTTTTTAAAATACAACATGGACGTCGCAGATGAGTCGCCTATCATAAAATATCCAAGTGGAAAAGTGAGCTTTTATATTATTATTTTTCTAATGCAAAATTTTAATTTTAAAATATCAATTTTTTCTTTAATATATTGGCTCTGGTCAAATGAAAGTGGTCGTTAATCTGTACAACGCTTTAGTTAAAAGAGAGCTTGAAAATCCAAACAACCCCCGGTTGACCTTCAGACAAACGATCGTCGAAATTTCAAAATCTACTGGTCTCGGACAACCTAACTAACTAACCTAACCTAACCTAACCTACAAATCCATACCTATAAAATATAATCTAATTTACAATATTTTGTTAAAATTAACCATCATGGGAGTGAACTGTACTATAATGATTAATAAAAAAAACCCGTCATTGTAGTATTTGTATATCATGGTCGTCAGTCGTCACATCTTCATTGTTCAAAATAAAACTTAAAATTAATTTACAAAGGTATAAATTATTTCTATACAATTTTAAATTTGGAATTACACAATAACAAATTGTAATTTGCACAAGAATCTAATCTTTATTTATAAATTAAAAACAAATTTATAGTAATTTAAATGCTTTTTTTTTACAAAAGTTGTAAAAACGTATATTATGTTTCAATAATTTAAATAGGATATTGAAGAAATTGTTGGAATAAAGGAATATCGCTGTTATATTCAGTCCAATTATATTGGTTTACATATTACAATAAATTCCAAACAGTTACAACCGCAACAACATTTTATTCCAATTATGATTATAGAAGTATGTATGAAGTTAATACTATGTATGATTAATTAAATAAAATGTACTCATTAAATTATTTATTGTGTACTAAACCAAATAATTTCTTGTATATTATTGCATTACGTGTTCAAATTTATGCCCAGCTTCTTGCATACAGTTTTCGAAACGTTCCATTAACTTCCTTCCAGTGGAATTTTTTAATGTTTCTTTCGACAATTCAAACATTGATGTCTAAACATTCAGTTGCATACACTTTATCTTTAAGATAACCCTATAAGAAAAAGTCTGGACATGTTAAATCTGGAGACCTTGGAGGCCATGGAATTGGGCCAACTGTTCCAATCCATTTTTTACCAAATGTGTCGTTTAAGAATGCTTTTACAATCTTAGCATTATGAGCTCAGAGCTGGGCAACCATCTTGTTAGAAGTACATATCAGTCCGTATGTCAAGAGGCACATCTTCCAATAATATGAGCAAAATATTTTGTAAAAAGTGTAAATATTTTTCCCCGGTTAATATACCTAAATAAATAATATAAATGTTATGTGTATTATTTTTTTAAAGTTGTGGCTGTTTAATAAATGTTCTATATGTATAGAAAAATCATACCTTCAAAAAAATATGGGCCTACCAATATAATCCTATAATTCATATCACCTAGTATCACCTATAATTCCACACCACACATTTATACTCCACATGACTTGAAATTTACTTTCTCTCATCCAACAAGGATTTTTTTCACTCCAATACCGAGAATTTTGACGGTTCAATATGCCATTATTTTGGAACTTATATTCATCGGTCCATAATATTTTATTTATAAGTGAAGGATCATCTTCCATTATAACCTGTTAAAATACATTATTATTGTTCAATAATTAACTATCAATGTAACAATGTATAAAAACAAAACTAAATTTTATGAATGTTGTTTTACAATAAAAATTTAGTGAAATTTTTTTTTTTTTTTTTATTATAAGTAAAGACCGGATTTATATGTTTTTACATATCGTTACTGGTTCAATGCAGTCTTATGAGAGTAAAAAATGTAGACGGTTTGTTCAATTCTGAGTTAGTAGAAAAAAGTTATAAGAATATTTCTTATTTGAACATTTACAATTTTTTTTATCATTTTAATATAAACCATTCATCAAAAAATACAAAGTTTTAACACTGGACATATTATTCTTTGAAGGTTTTTTAGAGAATATTTGCATCATATATTAGGTGTTTTAAGATAATTTAAATCTGGTCTCTAATAATTATAAGTTATAGTTTATTACACATGATTGCTTACCTTAAACCAAGCAATGAAATTCATACGTTTATCATAATCAGTAGCACGAAGATGTTGAACTATATGAATTTTATAAGGAAACATATTTTGCCTTTTTAGAATTCTGTGTACTGATTTTTTTGGTATACCAAGATCTTCAGATGCTTTTAATAAAGATGTATTCGGAAATGCTATAAAATATGTAATTACATTTTCTTCTGCCGCAATATGGGTCACATTTCTCATGTGCGACTGATGTTTTCCGTCGGGAAAATGACCAGTTTTCTTTAAGCAATTTACTAAATGTGAGAAAATCATTCGGGAAGGTTGATTTCTAGTAGGAAATCTTTTTCTATATAACTCCAGTGATTTTCGACTATTATTGTTACACTCACGGTATACAAAAATCATGTCGACTTTTTCTTCAGAGGTAAATAACTTCATGGTATAATTTAAATAAATTATACACAAACTTTCAAAATTAAGTTGTGTACAATAATAAACAAGAAAATGAATAACAAATTAAAATATATATTTTATTGAAGACAATATGAATATACAACTATACATGTGTTATTGTACAGAGAACAAATGTTAACATTTGTGATTAGATAAAGTTACGCGCGTACGTGCGCTACTATGCGTTATCATATTACCGTTAACACTTGTACATTACCGCGAGCAGTTCTGCCCTAAACTGATAATTAAAAATAATACATTTTGTAGCTATCAAATACACTGAGACGGGTCTATTATAGCAATTTATTGAGCCTAGAGAAAACAGTTGACATAAAATTATGTTAAGTTCTAAAAAACATTTCTTTACACAACATGTATATGATGATCCTACCTTACTACGTTATATACGACAATTTTAAAAATGTGACATTTGTGGGCGTCGCTTGCAGGTATGGACTAGTATGGACGAGTTAGTAAAAATCCATGGTTCTAGATATTATGAAGATGTATTAGGTACAGCAGAATGTAGGGAAGTAGCTGTTAAAATATTTAATATAGTACAAAATTTGTAGATAAATTAACGATGTATATACAGGTACTAATAAACGCTTCTTTACAACTATTCACCGCGTTATTTTTTTTTTTCCCTTACGTATAACATTCTTCTTTCTACAATATTTGCACCTATTTATAATATATTCAGGTGTATATATATATATATATATATATTTTATACACCACCTTCATATAGCTAACTATATCTCGTTAAACCATATGATGTACACCGCACAACTGATACTACATGCTACAAGTTTGTTGAGCAGAGGCTGGAAATCTTCCTCCGCATATAACTATATATATAGTGATAATGTAAAAATTTGCCTGATTACGATAGTTCATAGACAATGCTCTTCATAGTTATAGAAATATACTTTTTCTCATCAAAAACATATATTACGAACTAGAATTAGTTGTACTCCAAACGTCGTATCACTAGCTCATAACACGCAATAATCAACGCGATACTTTGCATACTATGGACGCCGAATCGAGTAAGTATCATTGCCTAATATTTATATCCAGGATTTTTATTTTTATTTTTATTTTTTAAAGTCTTAGAAGTAATTGAGAGGTATTTTCATACCTCTCTAGAGGGTCTAATGACGTCTCATTGCGAGGCGTCATTAGACAATCACCGTCATTTCGAATGGAATTGTGAAGCATGCAGGGAAAAAAAAAAATTTTCATAAAAAAATACCATATGTCCACGAGCGTAGAATGGCGCGAATTTGTATACACGAAATTTAATTTAAATATAAACCCGACAATAATTACAAATTTAAGTTTTATTAAGCCGGAGTTAAAAATATATTCGCATCGTGACTTTGAATATTTTTTCCGGAAAATATTTCAGCAAACCTACCAATTAGTAGACAACCATGGTCACATTATCTGGAATGATAATTTGTTATCCGGGAGTGTGATGTGGTTACAAGATACAAGTAGGGATTATTGGGAGGAGGTATTTCTAAAAATAAGACGATTTGTAAATTATGATATTAGAAATTTAGAATTAAGGAGTTCAGGTATAGCGAAAAATTATTGGGATCTTTTATTGTATAGAATTTTTCAAAAAAAAATGGGGCCTAGCATATATATTATTAATAATTTAGAATATTTAGATTTAGCCTTAAGTGATACTGTACATAATAATCATAATCGTAGTACTCGTATTCATAGTTATAATAATAATAGTGTATATAATTTAAATGTAGAATTAGGTAATTTAAGTTTAGATAGATTAATGTTGTTAAGGGATTGGACTTTCGGGTATGGTTTATTGGAGAATTGGAATATTGGTTAAATGTTACTTAGCTTTATTCTATAAATATTTATGTATTGTTTGTAAACTAAAGATTTTATTATTTAATTTTAGTGTTAGCCTACTGTATAATTTAATTATTTTACGAATATTTATTTTTATGTATAGTTTGTAAATATATTTCCCTCCATGCGAATAGTATATCTCATCTAGAAAAGGTAACTATACAGTCTTCCGTTATACGTTTGAGCCCGATTTCATAGTTTTTTTTAACAGATGGTTTGAACACTATACCATACGGATATTAGTACACCCGATATATAGGACAATCCGACGACCCTGTATTTTGTCACGTGACGGGGATCAGTGGCGGGGGCGCGATACGATTGCGCGCGGTCCTTATCAGCGGTACCTTTTTAAGCGTACGATTGCGCGCGCTATATTATTTTAACTTTTAAGCAACGTTGCCAAATATATAGGTCCATGGTAAATCCGTAGGATACCATAGTAAATTATAGTAGATTATTTATTACTTATTTTTGCCGATATCAGACAAACTTCCCATCACTAAAGAATGAATTGGTTATATTATCAAAAATATTATCTTTATTGTAAATGTCCATACATGTACGAATATACCTATACTATAATCGTGCATGATGTGACTATATCAATTAACTATCAGTTGTGTTCGGTTCTAATAATAGTTTTTTAAACTACTTAAAAAAAAAATATATATATAAATATATATTATTTATTTTTAGGACTACAAACGGGGCTGAAAGTTTCCATAGTACATATAATGCACAGTTTAATAGTGCTCATCCACCAATATTTGTCGTTATAGCTACCCTTATGGAACCTCAGGCAGAAACAGTTACCAAATTATTAACCATTTCCAAAGGTATAATAAAACCAAAATCGAATGAAGAATCAAGGAAAATTGAAAATTTGAAAAATGAACACAAAAATTTTTTAACTTTTTGTATTTTATTATTTACGTAATACATTTGGCAACGTCGCACCCAATTTCACGCGCAATCGTACGCCTTTGAGTAATTAAAATGTTGTCTTTTGTTATTCGGGCACTGCGCGCAATCGTATACCTAAAAAGGTAAAACGCGCGCAATCGTACTCCGCCGAGTGGCGGCGGCGGTAGGGATTTTTGAATGAATGAATAGTCACTATTCATTACTGTCCGCAGTTGGTGATATAGTGCTCTATTATATTAACCTACATCTCGTTCGATCTGCGCTAATACTACGCACGTAATTATTATATAACGTATTAATTTTTTCTTATCCGTTTATTTTAAAATGTTTAAATGCGAGCAATGTTCTTTGGGATTCGTATACGAGTCAAATCTGATCGCTCACCGAAAAACACATTCGAAATTGTTCAAATGCAGCAAATGTGCTTCGGAATTTACAGCGAAACGTAATCTGACAAGACACGAAAAAACGCACGAGGGTATTCGTATACCGTGTATTAGGTGCGGCATTACGTTCAGTTACAAGACCAGCCTCAATAAACATTTGAAAAATGTTCATGGTATGTACCTATTTTCTATATTCACTTTAAATATTTATTTTATTTTAACTTTGTCATCAGGTATAGTACAGATCGCGCCACACGTTTTTGTACCAGACTTGCAACCTGGTACATCGCCCGTTCATAAAGATCGCGTATCAACTACACGAGATAAACAAAATGTTCGCTTATCACCCATGCGAGATAACACGGCGGATGCATTGACGAGTAACGCGAATGAATGCTGGGAGGTTCTCGACACCGCCGATCTTCTCGGGCAAAATGATCGCTTATCACCCATGCGAGATAACACGAAGGATGAATTTTGGAGTAATGTGAATGATGATTTATGCTTGAAAGTTTTGGACACCGTTGAGAATCTTGGACTTTATGATTTTCAAGGTTAGCTATTTCTTTTTATAAACGCGTCATAGGTTAATTTTTTTTTTTTTTCTAAAGATTCATACACTACACTCGATAATGGTAAACGTGTTTCCAGCGCCAACACTAAATCCGCTGTTAGGGCAAAAAAAATACGTCTGAATCTCGTAAAGTCTCGAGGGTTTACAAAAATATCTACATCATCAAACAATACTATCACCTGGTACTACGTAAAAAACACCAATAATATTCAAAACTATATTTACTTCCTCGATTCGATCAAATCTGAACTAGTTAATTTACTAAAATCAATTGCAAGTAAAAATCCAATCAAGTTTAATTTAAAGCTTGAAGCAACATATAATATACCAAATGTTGAATATTCGTCGGAAAACCGTGCTTTTAAAACTTCGGCTAAGGCGGTTTTCTGTGATACTGGAGTACAGGAAATTGTTGAAGAGGCATTTACTAAATTAATGAAAGAGCAAGACGAGTATGCAAGCAAGGGTAGTGGTTTCACATTACAATGTATTGACGGTTTAATGTTAGGCGTATATAAATATACACCTTTGGGCGGATCATCATACATGCCACAGCCAGACCAAATAAAAAAAAAAAAAGCTGTGATCAACCCTCAAAACTTAGATATGCAATGCTTCAAGTGGGCAATCCTAGCAAAACATGTTACAGGAGAAAATAAATACCGTGTTGGCGATAATTATTTAAAACACGAAAAAAAATATAATTTTACAAATCTATCGTTTCCAACACCACTACATCAGGTTAAAATTTTTGAGAAAAATAATCCAAACGTCTCTGTCAATGTTTACGGTATCGACAAACAATTTCAACCGCCAAAATTTCCGGAATATAAAGTATTTCCGTTAAAAGTAGTAGATGAAGAAAAACCAGACCATTTTGATCTACTTATAACATCAGACGAGGATAACAGTCATTATAGCTACATATCTAATTTTTCACGACTCATCAGGTCACAAAAAACCAAACATGATGGACAATCAATATTTTGCAAACGGTGCTTCACATCATTCGACCAACAACAGTACAAATATAAATTAAACGGTGAGGCCGGGCTAGAGCAACATAAATTAATATGTGGAGAACATAAACCTATACTAGCTCAGATGCCTGAGCCTGGTACAATGCTCGAGTTTACTGCATGGAATAAAACGCAACGTCATCCTATAGTAATTTATGCAGATTTCGAAGCAATTCTCAAGAAAACTGATGA